GGTATAAATCTACAAGATAAACAGTTTATTTTTATTCACAATAATTTTTGTAACTAAAAACAAATAATGATTAATTAGAGACAAAATAATACTAGTGTTAATTATATTACTCAAACGATTCTAATCAAGAACGAACGTATTTCCTGAAATTGAGGATAACTACCACACGTGGAATTACAATGTACTAGAAGCCTTGCACTCTTCCGGCGCTAATAATCAGCTTGTAGGTTGAACATACTAGCTGTAAATAACTTAGTAAACGTTCAACATAGATATTAAGCCGCCGACCCACTGATGGTTTCTGAACGCTCTGGAGGTTCTCAAACACAACACGACAGCGACGATGGCGCTGGTCAATGTCCCTGCATTCGGTGCATTTAAATACAGCGCAATGACAAAATTAAATATGCTCACATTGTCTTCTCTTTCGCTAGTGCGAGTATACAAGCTTTCTGTTGGAGGCGTAACTTTAACGTCGCGTGTAACACCAACCATTCGATTGTCGCTAATCATTATAATTTGTAATCGGACAATGGAAAACCACTAACACTCGGAAGTCACCAGTGAGATAGCGATCTTAAGTAGGTATTTTAAACATAATGAGGAAGTATTTTAAGAACTATAGCACCAAAAAGCACCTTTTTACCAAAGATTTTTACCAAGGACATATCCGTTACTTTTAACTAACTTAAAAAACTGCAAAAAAAAAGCAAAGTTCGAAAGTTCAAAACTTAGATATCAATCATCACACCAGCCCTTTTACGTCCCCACTGCAGGGGCTCAGGCCTTCCTTATGGATGGTTAAGGAGGATGAGCCATGACCCTCCACGCTGGCCCAATGCGGATTGGAGGGTATTAACGACTGCAAATGTAGCCGGGACCAACAGCTTAACGTGCCTTCCGAAGCACGGAGTAGCTCGAGATAATAATTTTTTTGGTCACCCATCCCGTGACCGACCCTTGCGAAAGTTGCTTAACGAGAACGATCGCGGGCCGCGGCGCTTATCCACTACGCCACCGAGCTACTCAGATATCAATATTAATACGAAAAAGTACAAATATAATATGAGTAGTTTTTTTGAGTTTTGAATATTAATTTACTTTTATACATGAAAGAAAACTGGATGGGTTGTCATGGAGAAATCGAGAAAAAGTCGACATCTAGTTTGATTTCGGGAACAACATTTTTAAACAATTCTCATTATTTCAATCTCAGTCTCAATAAAATTTGCCTTGAAAGGGTAGACTCTGCAATTTGGCAAGTTGTCCCACTTCTGGGGATGGGTCTGTAGGGGAGAACTCTTTGGGCCCACACAGTAGATTATGATTAGGGTTAATAGATTTTTTTTAGCCGCATAAATGTGCAATAAATACTGGATTTCAATTTCTTTTCCAGGATTAATGAAAAAACAATTACTTACTTTTTATATTTTTTCAGAGAAACGCGCATGTTGTATTTTGATTTTACACAATAAAATGAATTTAAATCATAGTTAAATATAGTAATTAATTTGATTTTTATTAATTTGGAAGTACATACATTTATTTCGTTCATTACCCCACATTAACACCATTTATGACATTGATTTGATATTCATTCATTCAGAATCTGTATTAATTGCATTACTGTATTAATGTTATAGATTTGATATTTCTCCTAACTGATCTATTCTAACAAATGGAAATATGGCAGATCTCAATAAGCTCATTAATCGGCGAATAAGGTATATAGTGTTGTACTAAAACAAAGAGAGAGAGAGAAAGAAGCAACTGAATCCACATTTATTTCAAAAATTGCCAGTAGTAAAGCTATTATTCAACCAAAATTGTTCTTTAGAGCACCAAAAAAAATATTTTTTTCGAAAAATAAATCTTATATACGTCCATGGTAATAAATATTACAATGAAGTAATTTTTTTCAATCTTGACGACTCTGTGTATGTAATAAAACAGGGAGAATAAAGTAGCCCTCGCAGAGTGTCTTGCCGGTTGTTCTCTGTACAAGGTCTCCCGCCGTAGATCGACGAATCGATGGCGTAGTTTTGAATTTTACAAGTGCTTGTAACGGTTTAGACTAAATAAATGATTTCAAAAAACTCAATTGTTCACTGTTAAAAACCGACCTTGTATATAAAAAAACACAGAATATACAACTTACTATAATGCAATGGTATAAATTCGGTTACAAAAAGTAGACTCAATATTATTTAAATTCAGTCAAACTGTACTCTTAATTCTGGAAAAAACTAAGATTAAAACAGAATGAAATAATTTAAAGTTATATCATTATAATTTCAGCTGGATAACATCCACAGCTGCACATAGGCCTCCCCTTAATATCGCCACGTCGATCGGTCGCGCGATCATTGACCAGCATGCTTACTCTCGAACGCAATCGTGCCGTTTCGAATAGTTACACTAGCGCCAGGTATACAGTTTACCCAATCAATCAATTGCAATGTCGATCGATAGTAAGCATACAGACTGTCCTACGAACTGTATACCCTGCCCATTGCCACTTCGGGGTCGCAGTTTTTTAGGCTATATATCGGTCACGTTGGTTCATCTCCGAATCTTCTCGATTTTGATTCGATCTCGCACAGAAACTCCCGAGCATAGCCCTTTCCATTGCTCTCTGCGTGACCCTTAAATAGGTCACGCAGTTGGCGAACTCTCAGTTCCATACGCCTTCGTCTTGTCCATGTTCATTTTGAGATCTACTTATAGAGAAACTATCCTAAGGTCTTCGTAATCTCAGCCATGATATCATTGATGAATCGAAAGATAAGTGATGTACTCCCCGTTGATGTTGATGCCGAATCCATTCCAGTCCAGAAGCTTGAAGACGTCTTCCAACAGCAGTGAACCCCGATATGATGTTTCCTTACCTGACACTACGAAGTAGACGTATAGGCTTCGAGTTCTGATTCTGGAGCAGCGCTGATATAGTGGCGAATTTTATACAAGCACTTCAACGCTTCGATGTAATCAACATGGCTCCACTCGACACTCTAACACTGGCCAGGTCTCAATTAAATCAAAAACTTTTTCATAGTCCATAAACACCAAGCGGAGTGGCAGATAGTACTCTTCAGTTTTGGATTATTTGGTTTAAAGTATGTTGTGGTCTATGGTGCTAAAGCCACTATACTCATGGGCCATGCATGAAGCATTCTGCCCTTGGGGATGACAGAAATGCATAGCATCTGAAGGATTTTATATAGGTATACTTGTATCTGTACTTAATGTCCTTAAAATTATGCAGAAGTACAATTATATTTCTATCATTACGTTTGACTATTTAATAACAATAAATCAAATAAAAATTACTTTTAATGTTACACTAAGATAAACAATTGCCTCAGATTAATGTAACATTCCTAACTTATCAAACAATTCAACAGAATTGAAACTAAATTGAAGATGTTATGTTATTAAAGTTGGATCCACATGTTTGTTAACCAGCTTTTCAAAGATGGTGACCTTCACAGCAATGTGATATAACACCACAGATTGTTAATAACTTGGTTGACAGCTCCTGTCTGACTGTTGGCAATGATAAAGGTCACCTCTGTTGGAACGATGGTTTGCAACAGTTGTGGATCACACTTATTATTGTAGTATATATAAAAGTCCGAAAACATAAAATTCATAGAACATATTTAAAAGGAAGTGCCATAGCAAGAAAATCAACAAGCATATTGTAAGATGCTGAGAAATTGATTTAGGATTTTTTTATTATTGCTAGAAATTAACTTATATATTAAAGTAGCTTGGTGGCATACAGGATAAGCGCCGAAGCCTGCGATTGTTGTTATTAAGCAACTTTCGCAAGGGTCGGTCACAAGATGGGTGACCAAAAAATTATTATCTCGAGCTACTTTGTGCTTCAGAAGGCACGTTAGGCCGTTGGTCCTGGCTGCATTTGCAGTCGTTAATACCCTCCAATCCGCATTGGGCCTGCGTGGAGATTCATGGCCCATCCTCCTTAACCATCCATAAGGAAAGCCAAAGCCCCTGCAGTGGGGACATAAAAGAGCTGATGATGATGATGATTAACTCAGATTAATCCTATCTCAGACAGGTCAATATACATATTTAGTGTGCAAAATTAAAAATAAAATTAAAAATAATGAATATTTGTAGCATCTTAATGAACTACAAATCTAGCAGTCAGCAATCACTTAAACATATATGAATAATTGTTAGCCCTCATTAAAACAATGATTGATTTACTTATTAATCACTATTATTATTGAAATATCACATTTACAAATGATGTATGTACACATTACCTAAGGCAATATATATATTCTATTCTTTAACAATTCAGTCATTATTTTATTCTAAAAATTTTTCAACTGATGAAGGAAGTGTTCACCATAATCTCTCAAGGAATTACATTAAAATACTAATATAAAAGTTAGGAACCTGTTTTTTTATTAGGAACCTGTTTTTTTTATTTATTAGCTGTTTTCCTGCAACTATGCAAATGTAATTTATATGTCAAACTCCTAATATATATTATAAGACTGGTATTTGTCTTATACAATCCAATATAATGCAATGCAAAAGTTTAAAAGTTCCTATAATGTAGCTTTCTATAGGTGAAAGAATTTTTAAAATTAGTTTCAGAGCCTATTTAATGCAAATAAATTTTTCCTCTTTATAATATTAGTATAGACTAGCAGTGATATAGTAGTTTTTAGCTTGTTTGAAAACAAGTACCTATCTGATTTTACCTGAAGATTGGAGAGGACAGGTACGGAAATAGGAAGCACTTTAGAAGAAATAATCCTTTTAATAGCATATTAAAAATATAAACTATAAGGAGGTGTTACTTATCTCTAATTGTTAGTCAATTTTTTTGAAAAATAATGTATCAAAACTATGTCCCCAAAATTTAACTTATTTGGTATTTCTATATATGTATAAAACATACTAACAATATCTACAAGTTTGCTTATTCTAAAATTATGGCATAAAAAACGAGAACCTACCTGTATGTGCAAGCCTCCTGCCCACCAAAGGACTGTCCAGAAGCAGCCTGCGCAGGGACCAGCGTCCCAACAAGCCGCCACCCCATCCGCAGCCGCCACTGCTGCCACGCCGCATACCGTCACGCTCCACCATCACAACACAATATCCGAGCACATAACACTTCTCACTTAGCTTACATACGAAGTCTGCTCTTACAATACGACCGACATGAGCACTCGCAAATCATTGACTACCGTTGAGAAACATTGCCGACTTGTAGACGATTCTTTGCACAACGGCAGATTGAGTAATAGCCTCGAATCGCAGTGCACGCGAGGGAAAGTAACGATGGCTTGACAATTTCGACGTGTCACATCGTTACAGATGCACTCTCAGGTGGGGAAGAAAAGCTGTTTGGCAAGCTACCATTGCAAGAGATAATATCAACTGGCTACGTCAGTAATACACACCACAGTTTTGTGGTTTGCTAAGTAAAACTATATTTCGTTAGTAAAGGTTTCTATTTTACAGTATATAAACAATAGATGAGATTAAAAGGATAAACTGAAAAAGAAAGAATTAAGACTGATATGAGTGACGAATCTCACGATCTGGACGAACGAGTAGGGACAAACGATTTGAGACGATACGAGAATACGAGTAAATACAAGTACTTACTCGATACTTTTCTTTCTTTACTAAGTATTTTTGTATTCGATATTTAGAACCGATTAACAAGTGGTATAGTGAAGTAAGTATTTGTATCGATACTTGGTCAATTCCATGGGTCGATCACTCACTCAGGATTGTCAAAAAACTTGCGTGAATATGACAGTTAACTCTGTGGTAAGGTGTCTAAAGTCTGTCTCATGAAAAATTCCCTCAGGCGCGACGTCCCTGTTGTTTGTCAATAAGCATTGAATGCTTATTGGCCCTACTAATTCAATGAGGAGATAGTAAGTAAGACTTACTAGTAAAATCACTTTCAACAAAAAAATTAAAGAAATACCTAAATATACCGGCTGCATTTAAAACGACTCTCCAAATTTTTTCTAGGCATTAGGTATCGTTAATAGATCACATATATGAAAAAAAAAGGGTATGTAAAATTTTCAAAATGAAATGTAAACTTGTTGCAATTACAAGATAATTATAACATTCGCATTGTCACATTAGTTATGAATAAAACAAGGCAGCAGGGGTAGCAAGGGCGCGGGCGCAGGGGATGTACGCGCATGCGCCAACAACAATGTCTGCTAGGTTTTTTATTTTGTCGGCGCACATCAGTCAGTCGCCCGCGCACAACCCCTTTGAACGCATGCGCTTCCGCCTTTGCTTCCGTGTTGCGCACCGCCCGTCGCAGCGCCACATTTCGCGCGTCGTAATGTATTCCAATCGCGAATATTATGAAATGGTGCAGTGTTACATACATGGTGATCAACGTGACGCGGAGGCCCCATCTTGGGGCCTGCGCGATCGCCGGACCTACCACAGTGTGACTTTTATTTGTGGTGCGAAATTAAAAGACGTGTGTATGTTGAGGAAGCACAAAGCCTCGAGGACTTAAAAGTGCAAATAAGAGCGGCATTTTACCAAGTGAAAAATGACACGGTAGTGCTCGCAAAATTAAAAGACAATGTGCAGAAAAGGTGCAAGACTCTGTTTGGAGAGGAACGGTATGTACTTTGAACAATTATTAAAGTATACGTAGGTAAATAGTTAAAGTAGGTAGGTAAATTGATTAGTTGATTATGTACATAAAGTTGATGATTTTTTAAATACGCCTGATTGCAAAAGAATAGCGAGTTAAGTACCTACTTTGAATTGGTTTAACTAAACAGAATTTTAGGTAACTCGATATTTACTTACCTACTTACTTTATAAATTTAAAGCAGTATAGCTATTGTAATAGTAGGTATCTAATAGGATTTATGCAATTTGACGGTCCTAAGCCCGTAAAAGTATGAAGAGGTTTCAACTTTATTTATCATTTCCCCAAGCATGACAAAACGAAAACATTTTAGGTAGCTGCTATTATTACTATCAATGAATTGCGGCAAGGGAGGGAGGGGTAAGTGTAACGTAGCGCGTAAAGCGCATGTACTAGGCAGCGAGAGCGTCCACAAATGTAGGTTTTTTGAAAATAACTTGGTGACGATATAACTCAACATTTTTGTTCTAAACGACATAAAAAGAAAAAAACATGTATTTCATTATTTGTCGTAAAGATTAACATACTCAAATTTGGAGAGTGGTTTTAATTGCTTGCTGTATAACATGGCCGTCCCTTTTCTTTCAATTTTATCTCCGAAAATGACATTAGAGGTAAGTCGTATTGTTCCATTTCCACTAAAGCTGTTGGCAACGATGTGGTCCAACTATTAACGCTCCTACCTATCCTGGATGAATAAGCTCCTATTAACAAGCACTTTGTTAATCACTCCTTATGAACAAATTCTTTCCCTTCACATTACAAAAAAGCACTTGTCTTACCTTTTCCTAAAGCACAGAATCGTAATAACTTTCAATATAGACCAATATCCTGGCCACAGCACAGTAACTGCGTTGGTGAAAATAACTGACGATATACGTTTAGCCATGGAAAATGGACTTATGACTATTCTAGTGTTACTAGATTTCAGTAGACCATTTAATTCAGTCGACTTTGATATCCTTCTAGGTACAGATTTAAAATATTTTCAAACATTGAAGGAAAAATATGAAGAGACCCACCGTGCACAGTATATTCGCTTTAACGTCTCAAAATAACGATGATGGTTTGCGGGCATCTTATAATATCTCATTGCTTATTGCGAAATATGGGAAACCGCACACCATCGGAGAACAGTTAATTTTACCCGCTGTTGAAGAGGTTTTAAAAACTGTCCTGTACATGCCTTCACGTGAAGTACTTAAAAGAATTCCTTAAAGTAACAACACTCTAATTATCTACAAACAACTCATTTTTCTATTCAACTGGACGAGTCAACTTTAATTGGTAATGAATGAAGCATTATTATTGGCATATACTCGATTTATTACGGACGAAGAAATCCATGAAGAAATGCTATTCGCGAAAACTTTAGAGACACACACTAAGGGCGAATCAATATTTAAGCTAATGGGTGATTTTTTTAAAAATCGATTCCATTTACAAACATCATTTCCATGACAACAGATGGAGCTCCTGCCATGGTCGGACGTTAAGTGGGTTTATAAGCCATCTTAAAAGAAAAATACCACAAGTAACCGCAATACACTGTGTCATCCACCGACAACACCCAGTAGCGAAAAATTTGAGTGATAGATCGCATCAATCGCTTTAACTTGTGATTAAAGCTGTTAATTAAATAAAAAGTTGTGCGTTGAATATTCATTTATTTGCCCAATTGTTACTTCCGACGATTGCTTTTACATGTTGAAGTACGCTGGTTGTCGAAAGGTGTGTGTTTAACAAGGTTTTACTTACTTTTTGAATCAGTTTTAGAGTTTCTGGAAAGTAAAGATTCAGATTTAAAAGAAAACTTGATCAAATAGAAAGCAGACATCGCGTATTTGACAGATTTGTTAAAAAAATTTAATGACATTAACTTGCAGTTACGAGCATAAATTTAATTTTAAAAAAGAATGTTATTTCGGCTTTTCTTGGAAAATTGAAAGAACAATGGCCATCTGCCTAACATGCTTGGACTAGTAAAATCTAATAAAACGTAACTTGATGAAACATATTATGTTATTTTGTTTGCCTATGCAACTAGAACAAAGAAAGACATTAAATATATTTTTAAAAGCTGGGAGTATTGAGTAATTTTGTAATATGTTTTTGAGGTTATGTCGTACTATTTAAACTGTAGCATTTTCAGTTAGAGGTATTAGAGTTGAAATATGTAAAGCACACGTAAGATAATGCCTAATCGTAGTCCTAGAAGAGCATACTTTCACATAATACTTCAAACTTACTCCATATCTGATAAATTATTTTTATTGACTGTAAGAAATAAAATCATTTTTTGTGAACCAATGAACATCAAAAAAAATAATAGAATTTTTAAGATTGCTCTCAGTAACTCTACTTTTCTATCTTACACTATAACTTATATAAAGTAGTAGTGAAAATACTAATTTCAAAAGGATATAGCAAAACAACATGTTGATTTTTCTTTTCTTTATTACAATTCTAATGAATACCTCATCACAGAATGCTGCAGGAGCAGCTACATTCTGTTCGTTCTGGCCCATCCAAGATACCAAACTATGGTCATCATATAAGCACAACATCCCAGTGTATATCGACCAATAACACAATTACAGCAGTGTTCTCTTATTACACATAATATTGTTTCCTCACAATGTCTCGACTTAATTCTACCCCTCATAATTAGGACTTTATTTATATTTAAGTCTAATTCTAATAAATTCAGAAAATCCGGTATTTCTCTCCAGATCTCAATTCTATACTGCACATAGATCCTAGTATGCTCCCCTTAATACAGAAGATAATACAAATCACCGCCAAAGTTAAAAAACGGTCTGCGTAGAAACACGTCTACACATACTTGTCTAAAAAGGGAGGTCGCAATCGATTAAATACTGTAATATCGATTCTTATGAATAATCATTTGTTTTTAATTTCATTATAAATAAACTATTTTTCTCTAAGTAACATCTAATTATATAAGTAATCAATTCTAAGTTTTATAATTTTCACGGATTTATATGGTTAGTAAATAATATAAGATTTGTATCAAATTCGATTAGTCATAAATAAAATCTATCTTGTGCTTTGAAGAGAGGGACTTCTCTAGGAATGACATTATTAATAAGATGCGTTCAAAAATAACATAATTTAAATTGCGTTCTAAAAAATAAAGAAATATTTTAGAGAAGATTATCTTTATTTTCTCAGCTTTTAAAAATAAATTGTTGGTTTATAATAATTACATTCAATTTATACTATATTTTGGTGATAGTTCCATCTTGGTACAAGAACTTTTTTTTTTGTAGTCCATTTTGACCATTGTTTTTTATGAAGCCAAATATTAGTCAGCGCAAATTCTCACAGTTTCCAAACTTGTAACATACAGCATGTCTTGATGAAGATATTCAGACATACGTTTAACATTTAAATGCGCTGCATCATGACTTTAAAAACAGATTTGAAGATATTTTGATTATGGATATACCACCATGGATCATTAATCCATTTGATGAAGCGGAAGTGGCGGATGTAGATTCCTATTAGAAGAGGAACTACTCAGAACCAATGAAGAGCTGAAGGTGCAATTTAAAAAAGGCTATCAAAGATTTTGACTGCAGGCAGAAATACCTGAAAAATATCAAATGCTGTGGGAAATTGCGAGAAAACTTTTGATAGCGTTTGCCTCGTCATACCTTGTCGAAAAATGTTTGTGTCGTTACAAACCTATTAACAAAAAAAAGGAGCAGATTAAATATTACAGAACGGGGAGATTTGCAGTTAATCCTTACAAAACTGAAGCCAAATATTGATAATTTGCTGTCTATCCATCAAGTACATCTCTCCGATTAAAATTATGGGTACTTTTTTTATTATTGATTTGCATTGTTGAAGTTACGTAACGTTATTAGTGTTTAATTTTAATTCTATTAAGCCTGTTATCATTATTATTTCAATAAAAAGATCGCAAGAAAACATACTGTTTTATATTTATTTTTACCACTCCGAATTTAGGGTTGGAACTCACCCGCGATGCCAATTTCCATCGTTAGATCTTCACATTTTGGACGAATTTTGGAAATATGGTAGAAATGTAGCAGCAGGGGTCCACCGAAACGAGATTTTTTTTTTTAATGGTCTATGAGAAAAAATTGTTTGGGAACCTCTGATATAGACAGTAACTTATCGTGGAGTGGAACACTCATATTATCGAGGTAAGTAAGATATTCTTTTCAATTTTTAAAACGTCTACAGAATTTTCTTCTATTTAATATAGGTCATGCTACCTCAATCTCTTCTTTTACCTATTATAGATTATGCTGATGTTTATTACCTCGATGCGACGGAGGAACAGCTAAATAAACTCACGCGACTGCAGAATTTGTGCAACCGCTTCATTTTTGGACAACGTAAGCATGACTACGTTTCCAAATTTAGATCACAATTGAAGTGGTTACCTATTCGTCAGCATCGGGATTTACATATTCTATCTTTCCTCTTCACAATTCTAAATCGCCTTAGAGATCGTTTTGAATTTCTTATTCCACGTAACAAACCCTGTCGTATTCTCTTCTTTTATTTTTAAGATTCCTCTTCACCATTTAAGTTGTTACAGTGGATCTTTTACGGTTCGCGTGGTACACTTTTGGATTACACTGCCCCATTCGTTATGTGCTAGCCCTTCTCTCGGCATATTCATAAAAGTGTAAAGGAATATTTTCTTTGCAAGTGCGTCTGAGCGCACTTGCATTTATTATCACTACATATTATAAAACAAAGTCCCCCGCTGCTTTGAATTTTCCAAACTTTTCATTTCCCCTGATTTGGCGTAAATCATATGTAATTCCCCTTCCTAAAATCTCCTCTCCAAAACAACTAAATGACTTTAGGCCTATATCAATCCTTCCTTTTCTATCTAAAATCCTAGAAGCCGCAGCCCATGAACAGTTATCGAACTTTATACACTCCAAATCCCTTCTCACTCCTTTCCAATCCGGCTTCCGCGCCGGACATAGTACAACTACTGCTCTTCTGAAAGTCACCGAGGACATTAGGATTGGCATGGCAAGGCAATTGGTCACCATCATTGTTCTTATAGACTTCTCCAATGCTTTCAATATGGTTGACCATGACCTTTGGCCGTTCTTAAGTCTCTTTATCTGTCATCGTTGAATTACCTCTCTTTCTCGCTTGGTTGCTCTTATCATTTCTATGCAGATGATCTACAGATATATGTACAAACCACGATGGAGGAAATTAAGTCGGGCATTTCTAAACTGAATAATGATCTTTCTAATATCAGCGAATGGTCGTCTCATTTTGGAATTTCCGTTAACCCAAGGAAATGCCTTTTTTGTGAAAAATATGTGAAATTCATCATCAGTATTATGTATCCATATTTGTGCTATTGTATGTATATATGTAGTTGTATGTATAAATATATATATATATTTTAGTCAGTTTCTTTGCATGCTTACGCATAGTTAATCTTTACTTAATGCCGCCATCGCGTTTATCGTTTTTCCTTAAGGTTGACTGGGAGAGAATACCATTAGTATTAAGTCCGCCTTTTGCACCTTTTTTTCTTACTTTTTTTTGGTCAATAAAGTTTAATAAATAAATAAAAATCTTTGAAGTTATAACAAAACAATGTTTGGTGGAATTATACCTCTTTAATAGATCTATTAAATAAAAATAAATCACCGAAATGTATGTACGCGCATAACTTTCGAATTCCAGTTCCGACTGCACCAAATTGGATGATTCTATTCTTATATGTTCTATGATTCATGACACGGTTTGTATATAAGTTTTTTTTATTGAGGCGGTACGAAGTTCGCCGTGTCAGCTAGTATTAAGTATGTTATTTAGCTAATGAGTATATATTTATTTTATCACGCGTGTATCTTCTGTTGATATTTTCTTCTTCTTATTTTGAAAAAAAAATATAGGTCCCGAAATCAAACTTGATGTCGCTACGGTACGTTCTTGATTTCTCCATGACAACCCTTCGGGTTTTCTTTCATGTTTAAAAGTAAATTAGTTTTCAAAACTAAGTAAACAAGTCATATTCTATTTGTAATTTTTCGTGTATGTATTGATATCTTACTTTCGAACTTTCCAAATTTCAGTTTTTTAATAATGTTAGTTAAAAAGACCGGAAATTACTATGTACAATCTCCCCAAAAACTATTTCTTCCAAACCAAGTTTATAAACAAAACGACGGTAGGCAAAATATAATCAATATGAACAGACACAGTTCATAAATATATTATTTGTAATACGACTCGATACCGAGTTTCAGAAAACAATCAGCACAATCTATCGGCCACCAGTGTGAAGAAAGCAACATATAAAAATAATGCTCAAAATGGTTTGACAATATCAGAATAATAACAAAAAATAACGTTAGAATATGAACAACTCTCTTTGGTCCATTCGTTTCCTACAAAAATCAACTTTTGCTAGAGTCGCCATCTAGTGGAGGTGCTTTTTTAGTGCTTTCTTTTTTTAATACTTCCTCATTATGACTTTACCTTCTCACGTTCACTCAAAAGTTTGCTGGAAGAATATTTGAGTTAAGCTCGCCTTTTGTATAGAAGTTTCTAATAACTTTACCTTCTCACGTTCACTCAAAAGTTTGCTGGAAGAATATTTGAGTTAAACTCGCCTTTTGTATAGAAGTTCCTAATAATGTTTGTTGTCTGACAGACTTTGTGTACAATAAAGTATAAATTAAATAAATAATTATGTGTATCCCTTTGTAAGGTGCTAGGTGTCATATATGTGTAAAATGTCATTCATATTATAATAAATCACTCTTACTGTATGCACAGATTGTTGTCTGAGCACATTATTCTTTGCACAAACGTCATGCCGAATAAGCCTTAATAAAAGAAGAGAATATTGGTGATCGCCATCTTTCATTCATTTCATTTTCATTCTACATTTAAAAATTAATTTATTTACTTGACATTGGCAGAATTGTGCGAAATGCGCAGATAAGCCATTAACTGTGTCTATCGGGTCAAATCGCACTCTTATCTTTTCATTAAGAATGTAGTCTAATGTAATATCACATGTGAAAATGCCATTGGATGTTAAAATTTTGGACATACAGTTGTTCTTAGGACTTAGAGTTGTTCGATATGCTGGTTTTTTCGATAATGAGATATCGATATCATTGTTTCTACGTCGATATCGATATTCTTGGTCATCGATATTTTCCAATATATCGTACATCCCTAGTTAAATTGCTTTGCTTTATTTATTTTAAATCATAATACTTTGTATATAGAATTAAAAATCATAAAAATTTTCGAATTTACCAAAATTGCCAACTTGCCAAGTGTTCAATTCAATTCCCAACAATTCCCAAATACTTTAACATTCTAGTACCTTATTGATAAAATTATTTGTTGATAAAAATTCAATTTAAAATTAAAATCTTAACCTGAACAATTCCAACCAAATTGAAGTTTTTCTGATTTTAATAAGAATTAGAATGTCCTTCCCTCGGACAACTATTGTGGTTTTGTTAACTTTTTTAGCTATTACTAGTATTTTTTGTGAAAATAAATACTCTAAGGATGCCAATGTAAAGAAAAGTAAAGGTGTTGATTTTAGAACTTTAGAAAAGCCCTTCAGGATGAATAAACTAAATCTTCTATGGTTAAAAGCTCAACAGGTAGGTGGACTGTTCTAAGTAATTTAAAGTTAGCTTTAATTTTACTTGCCTTAGTGATGTACGTATGTCCGTGGAATAATAAAAATATTTTATTGTTACAGAGATTATCTGAACCTAAACTTAAATCATTGTACAGTGATTTGATGCTACAAGATAAAGAAGAACTTACATTTAAGAGATTCAAAAGTGAAGGCGGTGACAAAGAGGGTTTAAAAGAAGCCGAGCTGAGACGTAAACTCTCAAATATTATGGCAGCGTATGGGCTTCGTGAACATTTTGGGGTTACTGGTGCACGTCAAAAAGAGCATGAGGTAATGCAATTTATTGTATTTTTGTTTTATTCAAAAATATGTATATGAATACAAGCAATTTGTGAAATATAAAAGTGACAAATAACAATCCCTAAATTATATTCAATTTTAGGCTTCTAATTCAGTAATAGATGACCACATAAATAAAAGCTTGTTCAAAGATAAGAAGTTGAATCTTTTATGGTCAAAAGCTGAGGCATCAGGTTTCACTAGTGCAGAATTGGCAGCGCTAAAAGAAGAGTTCAATCATCACCAGGATAAGATTGATCAGTACTATGATTTACTAAAAGATGTAGAAAGTGGTCCAAAGGATGGCTATAAAAGTATGAGCTTCTCTATCATGTCCTATATAACTTTTATTTTCAGAGGAACCAAAATAGTAAAATTTAATTTCTTGTAGTCAGTTTCATAAAAATAGGTACACAAAATTATTTAAGGGACATAAATTCAATATTTTGAATATCATATAGTTAAAGTATGAACCCAGAACTATTTGCAATCTGGGCGATTCTCTTACCATTGAGTATACCCGAGATCCAACAAGACTGATGACTGTTTACAACATTTGTTACTTTTCACTACTAGTAAGCATATTTATGTCAATGTTCAGGCAATCCAAACAAACAGCTGATACAAATATTTTTATTTTTGGGTCAATGGTTAGAACAGTTGTCCAAATTGTGAAAGGTTGCCAGTTCGGCTCACAACTCGGGGTACCTGCGACTGCTGAATTTTTGAAGCACTTTTTATTTAAAGATATTTATTTATCAGTACAACATTGTGACTGCAAAATTTATCAAATCTATTATATTCCAGATGTTGTAGATGAAGAAGAAATAGACAAATACAATGAAATCAACAACCCTTTAGAGACCAATGAGATAAACAAAGAGTTCATAGATAAAGCAAACTTGGTGAGAGAGAAGCACCGAGGACTAAGGGATGGATATGACAGGTTACAGAGAATCACTGCTAAAGGTAACATACACGACTGTAAATAAGTGTGAACATGATAAAGTGTTATCTTGTAACATTGTTTATTTTACTTTCCAATAGGTCCAAACAATAAAGAGTTCATTGAACCCAAAGTTCAAGGTCTATGGAGAATGGCTGTGGCGTCAAATTTTACTGTTGATGAACTTGCATCCTTAAAGGTGGGACTATTACAATAGTTGTCTCTTAACTTTAACTAGTCACCCAAACCATTAAAATTAACATCCAAATAAATCCTTCAATTGACAATTTTGTGCCAAAGGAAATTTATAAGGATTTATTTTAATTTAAATAAATCACATGAAAATTTTGAAAACATATTTATACCTGTGGCAATGAAATTATTGTCAAATTCATGATGTCAGCCAGACTAAAGCTTCCCGTTTATCTGCCAATATATGTGACGTTTCTGTATGTCCCTATTTCGAAACAAATAGATAATAGGATATTTTGATAAGTCACAATTAAAACTGAAGAGGGTGGCCAGACTGGGACACAACAATATTTCAAAACTTATTTTAAATTGAGGTTAACTAAACCCATATTTTCATATTCCCTTTTAAATGATCCCTTAAAAATGCGTTTTTTTAATATCATTCAATGGCCATAATAATGCAATGCATAAGATAGATAAGTGCCATTTTTAAATAGTTCTTTCTTATCCATTTCCCTGTAGGCTCCCTCCCTGGTCGGCGACTGACATAAAATAATGAAAAATAGTTTTTTTTCCCTAGAGCAGGAGTTCCCAAACTTATTTCGTCTAAGACCCAATTTGAGGATAAATTATTTTTAGACCCCCGCCCCCATTTTTGCACCTATTAATTTCAATAAATAATTGGGAATTTCAATTAATATTAGCGGAGATTAAACATTCATTGTAAACGAGAGTAACGGAACGGAACAGAGAGATTTTTATTCAATAAAACGGGACAGATATATGTATATAAACTACACGGAGATAAACACAGAACAGAGTTAGTTTTGAGCAATTTCCTAATTAATGTTAGTTGATGTACACCAGTTGTATTCGATGTCGAAAAGTCCTACATGAAAATGCCCCCCATATTTTTTTTTTGCCTCTTACTGCCCCCTTTAGGTCTGCATCGCCCACTTTGAGAAAGGCTGCGCTAGAGGATGAAATGCTATTTTCTCTTTAGTAGGCAATAAAAACGGAATTTTTCAACAAGTGATTTTTTGTATTTAAACAGGTCGAGCTGCAGCATTATGAACAGCGTCTTTTGAAACTACGTCATCTACAAGCAGATCACGTAAGCAATGTAGAGAAACATCATAGCAAGGTTACTTTTTGATTTCCATTATATTTTTTTATAAGCCCACGAATATGTACTAGTTACAAGTTTTTGACCGCTCGACAGCTATGTCGTGAAACGTTCTTTGCTATTACCCAACTGCGTGACGCAAAGGAGGGTAGTGTGTTTATCAGTCTACATAATTGTTTGTTTCTATGTGGCGTTCTAGAGACCAAATGCGTAGGCCGATTTTGATGATTCTTACGTCAATCGATTCGTCTTAACCTTGCGAGTGTCACTAAAGACATGACAGTAATCAAAATTCACCACAGCGACAACCAGACGCCATATTGTCAAAATGAGAAAATAAAAATCTTTGAACTATGTCAAGTGGGGTGTCGTTGAATAGGTATTTTAAAATTATCTTTATGTCCCTTTTTACCCGACTGCGCGACACAAAGGAGGGTAATGTGTTTATCAGTCTATGTATGTATGTTTGTTTCTATGTGGCGTTCTAGAGACCAAATGCGTAGGCCGATTTTGATGATTCTTACGTCAATCGATTCGTCTTAACCTTGCGAGTGTCACTAAAGACATGACAGTAATCAAAATTCACCACAGCGACAACCAGACGCCATATTGTCTAAATGAAAAAAATAAAAATCGATGAACTATGTCAAGTGGGGTGTCGTTGAATAGGTATTTTAAAATCATCTATAGGTTCCTTTTATCATTTTTCATTTTAAATAATAGTTTAGGATATATAACGATTTAAAGTTGTTTAACAAAACATTCTCGCTAATTTTCTTACTGATTGATTAAAGTTTTTATTTAAAGTATAAACGATATACAAACAAACAAAAAAAAAACTGAAAAAACATGAAGAACAAATATTTTGGTAAAAAAATAAAGCATATGTAGCTTTGAGCCGAGTAAGGTCTCTAGAGGGACTAATCATCAGTAGTTTAGACCACCGCAAGTTACTTAATAATCCCCACGATATTAACTCCCTCAATGAAATCTTATAACGAAGTCAACGAATCGTAACTAAAAAGTATAAAATAAAAATAAATTATTTAAAGATAAACAAAAATCCCGACTGCGTAAAAACGAATTTAAAAAATGAATACATGAAAGAATTAACTTAAATAAAACTAAAAAGAAAGAAATAAGCCCAGTAGTTTAGAATTCTGTTAAGTAATACAGAACATAACGACTCGAAGTCGGGGCCCATTCAAATTTTACCAATCAAATCTTCTCAAGGGGCCCCGACTATGAGTCGTTCTGTTCTGTTTTACTTAACAGAATTATAAACTAATGGGCTTGTTTCTCTTTTTTTAACTTTATTTAATTTATTTTTTTCATGTAATTTTTAAAATTCGTTTTTACGCAGTCGGGTTTTTTGTTTTTCTTTAAATTATTATTTTTTTTATTTAGATTTCAAGCTTCGTTAATAAATTTGTTTTGCAGGTGGCAGCTACTGGTGACAAAATGGACCATTTCGATCACGAACAACAAATGATTAAGAAGCACGCGCGTAAAGTAGAGAAGATGCATGCCGACATTGAAAACAGAATACTCGAGCGGCATTCAGAACTCTAGGATTTACCTGAAAATAGTGTACCTTCGTAATTATTAATGTTAATATTAAGTGTTATATGTGGATCTACAAATGGCTGAAATAGAAAACAATGTCTCGAGTGTGTTCCGTGCAGGTTTTGTCTACAAGTCTCAAGTTTACTAGTGAGCTAATCATTTGCACGGTTTGCTTGAATTTAAATTGTTACTATAAAACTACATAAATTTTCAGAACTCGTAAAAAATATTTACTGCTGAATAAAGAATTATTATTATATTTTATACAACTATCTCTGCGCACAAACAAACTCAATACACGACGAGTAACTTTGCTAATTATCCCTATTTAGCAGCGGGCTGATATATAAGGGAGTAAGCCTGACGACACATACGAAATATGGACAAATAGTAAAGTACCTGAGGTAAACGAGTAGTCTCTGTGGAGCTGATGGCGGCGGAAGCACTACTCTTTTAGTTTTAAAATATCTAGTCCTTTATTTATCAGTCCGTTACAAATAGCCAAGTTATGTAGTTTCAGAAATAAGCGAGTCTTCTGTTAGCTAGAACCCTTTATACATAATAAACTCATTTAAGAGCTTGTTCTTTTAAAACGTCATGGTATTTTAGGGTGTATTTTGGCGTGGCCTAATAAGTGTTCTGGCGACTGTTATGGCGGCTTCTCAGGTTACATTCACCAGCAGAGCAGTAGGAATTTCGGTGGATAGGCCTCCGGTGACGGAGGAGGCCACGCCCCCTCTGTCGCTGGCTAGGCTGGGATTGAGCTTAAACCATTTTCCTAACGCATAAAAAAAGATTTCGATAACACCAAATCTTTTAACGCTCTGACTACTCCAATCGAATATTCTAGTCACATATTTTTGTCATGTATTTGCTATGATTTTGCCAACACAAAAGTTTACCACCTGCTGTTTTCCAATCCTAGACGAATCCTGATCGGTGCGTCCAACACTAGAAGCCGAAACACGATGTTTATATATTACCCTGTACGAGTGCACAGTGTGTTAGAAACCTCGATCAACAAATGTTTTTACTTCACTTTTCGATAATCTACATCATTTTAAGTAATAGACTGCAGAACAAACCTGTACGATGTAACCAAGAATTTAAGGTTTTCGGAATATTTCCTGGATATGCTATAAACTTTGCTTCATGCCAAATTTCAAGATTCTAGGTCGACTGGAAGTACCCTTTAGGTTTTGATTCCCTTGCGAGTATGAAAATATGCGGCTTAAATTGCAGTTTCTTTTGATTGCGTTGACATAAAGGTTTGATTTTGTTACAGCCTAAAGGTATTATTAATTTAAATTAACTACCACCTATTCATGAGGAAAAGGGCAGTAACTGCAAAATTAATAAAAATATTTTTATTATATGGTGTAACTAAAAATTTAAGGGTGTCTCAATTTTTCCTTTATCTATGCTGTAAGACGTTGCTTCGTGCCATATTTCGAGATTCTGAGTTCGCGGGAAGCACCCTGTAGGTTATATTTGATCAATATTGCATTCACAATGATATACTGAAAAATATTCTTAATAAAAAATGCTTATAAAGTCTAGTTTGAAGTTTCCCGGATTGCGATGGTCATGGGTTCAAGTCCATCTCAGAGTGCCAGGGACAAAGTGTTTTTTTTTTTTAACATTTTTTATTTAAAATATGATCCTATAAGGGTTCCTTTCGAGATACGGTATCCTTATTCATACGGTATATACGGTATCCTTATTCACAAAAAATCTTTTTTCTCTCAAGAGTAATGGCGCACTATCAACAGATTTACGTAAGTACCTGTCTTGACAGTAATAAATCCAGATGCTGATTCCGTGGAACCTATCGGTAATGTTCGGGTATTTGGGGCATAGCGTTATCGCCTGCCTAATTATTTTATAAAAATATATTTTGTTCTGCGAATCATGCAGCTTATGTTTAAATTAAATGAGTTATGGATAATGTTTTAGTTTGTGTTTAGGTGGGGTAATGAAGTATTTTAAGAAAAAAAAGCACTAATAGAAAGCATCTCACTAGATGGCGACTGCAAAAGTTGCTTTTTGCTGGAAACGAATGGACCAAAGATAGTTATTTTCGTTCCTTTTAATAAATTGAAATTAGCAAAGTTCGAAACTTAGATATCAATACAAATACAATATGAGTTGTTTCTAGAGTTCTGAAAATTAATTTACTTTTATACATGAAAGAAAACCGGAAGGGTTGTCATGGAGAAATCGAGAAGGTACCGTAGCGACATCTACATATGTTGGTGATAGACTAGTGAGCTTTGTAACCTCACACAGAATAAATAATACATAAATAACACAATTCATAATTTTTTTTTAACCATAAATCGTACATGTCCCGATGAGTGACAACCCTGACACAAAATTAGAAATCTTTAATAACTCCAAAGTTTCAAGGATTTATACCCTAACCTTAAGGCATAGCTTAACTAGAAATCACTAACTGAAGCAGATTCTTCGCTTACCCAAACCTGTAATGCCTTACTAAGCACTTGCTAAAATAGGCAACGATTGTCTATGATTTTGCATACTTTGGCTCTATTTCTTCTTTTTAATGTATGACCTATTTGCGTTTACACCATTCCGCGAATCTCATGTTAGTAATAAATAACACAAGAAAAATTATACGTTGTCTTGTTATTGTCCATATATAAAAAGTTCCGAAAATTCAAATATATCTTAATTCTAATATATAAACTTCTTGATTCAAACTTATTTAATTGTCTTTATCCCATGACACGTCCATTATAAAGTCAATGTGTCTGTCCATTACTCAAACGCCCAGCGCTAGGCGCCGCACGATGCGTGTCCTAAATTTATGCGTTGCCCAATGTCATTAGGTGGCTCCTTGTCATTGGTGAAATGCATTTTCACCTTAAATAATGACCAAATATTTGGGTGACTCCCAAGTTTAAGGAAAACGGCCATTCAGTCGTTGCCACAAAATGTAACCATCCAAATTACCATAGATACAGAAACGTGCAAAACTACAAAAATAAGTACACAATAATTTGAACATTACTCGGTAAACGGACAAAGTGCAATAATATGTAGTAATTAGGTCTCATTACATTAAGAATAATTGCGCTTTAGCACCAATCCACATTGGGACACACACGTGGGCCCAGTACAGACTGCTCGGTGCCACCACAACTACGGGTCATGCACGAGGGGCCGCGAACACATACACATTTTACTCAATACTGCGTTTGCATAAATAGAGAAGTATGTAACTTGCATACAAATTGATGTACCCTAAAGTGAACACACAATTTGTGTTTTCATATATTAATGCCCATGGTCTACATATTTGTTTCCAACGTTGTGTACATATTTATATGCATTTAGAAGAGTACGATAATAATTAATTAATTAACATAATAATTTATGGAGTAGCTCGGTGGCGTAGTGGATAAGCGCCGCGGCAAGCGATCGTTGTTGTCTAGCAACTTTCTAAAGGGTCGCTCACAGGATGGGTGACCAAAAAATGATTATCTCGAGCTACTCCGTGTTTCGGAAGGCACGTTAAGCCGTTGGTCCCGGCTGCATTGGTAGTCGTTCATACCCGCCAATCCGCATTGGGCCAGCGTGGCGGGTCATGGCCCATGCTCCTTAACCCTCCATAAGGAAGGCCTAAGCACCTGCATTGAAGACAAAATAAAGCCTTTATATGAGTAGATATATAATGTCAAAATACTTGTATCTATATCTTTGACCTTGACTATATACTACGAGTCTACTGTACGTAAGCTTTTGCTAATACGCCATCACTCTGGAGAAAAAACTATAAAATGATGAAAACGTTAGTATTATGTTATCTATTCACAGCTGAAGGCTATAAACATTTCAGATTGTGTGTCAATAAAAAGCATTAATAATTCCACTTAGGAAAAGGTGACAGTTTTGTATTGTATCAAATATTGTTTAAAAGGCCATAACTCTAGTTTCATACAGGCTATATCCGTTGGATATGTATTTATATCGGTAATCCAACATTCAATATGAAGTATTCGATCACTGTATGTATAGGGGGCATTAAAATTCCAATTCAGTTAAGTAGATAGAGATATTCCCTAGTCAAGAACACACGAATAATATTTGACAACGGTTTATTTGCCTAGAACTTACCGCATATCTTGCTTTAATAATATTCGAGACAGAATTTTCAATAATAATAATAATTTACTTATAAATATACAAATTACCCAAATAAACCTATTAAAAAAGAATTATCTGAAAACAGGTGGTATTATTAAAAACACCAGTGAATACAGTGCATCAGTATATGATATTTAATTCTCATGTACAAGCAAATTTATTAATACACGTTTAATGTTCCGTCTCGATCTGAGAGCACGTCAATCGTCGTCGTAACAGACGTCATATTATGCCATAACATTATATATATACGTATATAGTGTAAAACATGTAATACAACGGTGGCGGGGGGCGGGGGCGGGGGCGGCGTGACGTCACGACGGCGCACCGCGGCGGGATCTGATCCCGCACACAAATAAAACTACATCCGGCTCCCCTCACGAGTTTCATTATAATGAATCGTTTAATGCTCACTTCAGTCGATCGTACAGTATAAGTAGTTATTTTCTCGATAGGACATTTTCTCTATTATGTATATAGATAATCTGTATAATATAATTCTTTCTCACTAATATCTACACCGTTTCCAAGGGTTACAATTAATACATAATCCTCGTCGGATAGTCGCCGGGTGTCGGCGGGCAGCGGGCGGCTGAGGGGGGGGCCCGCTCCGCTCTTCGTCTTTGCTCGCTTCTACGTCTAGTGGCTCCATTTGCTCCACGTCTGCGGAATACAACAACAATACGTTACGTTCGTATCCTTCACTCGGGACAAAACGTCAGTCCCAAATCGAGGAACTAATAGCACTCGTATAAAGGAAATCTGAAACGACGAAGGTCACGCGACGCCCGGACCCGAGAAGATTTAATAAAGTTCATTTACCACATCGACCCGACCGAAATCGAGCTCGGGTCTCGAAAATGGAGACACCTTAAATCCGGCGGGCTAGGCCGGTCGGCCGCGATCGAGAATCGAGATCGGTTCAGTGTTATTTAGCAAAAACAACGAACGAACGATCGCTTCAAATTTTATCTTCACCGTTCAAGGTTACCTCTAAATTAGGATTTCTTTTTGAATAGCATATCACTCGCTATTTATTTTTATAGAACACGGGACGAATTCGAGAAACATTTCGTTAAC